GTCTCGCTGTACTCCGCTCGCCCTCGCTGTGCTGTCCAGCGCGCAAAAAATATCGTAGCATACTTTTTTGGGACTTCGTCGTTGCGCTTTATTAATGAACATGGCGCGCAGCGTGTCAACAGGCCTCACGCTAGAGCGAGACAGCAGAAATACAATGTATAAATATTATGTAAACACGCAAACAATGAAGTGATTTGTTGCTACTTAAATTTCGCCCCCGAGAGTGTGCCAGCCAGCAACAAAAACACGGAATTTGTATGGCGAGGTAGGGCGAGGGGGCTGGGGCTGGGCTTAGCTACTGCTGCTGCTGCTGCTGCTGTTGGTCTAGTTGGCTGCCTTTGGCTTGCTTAGCTGATGCTGCAACTTGAAGAAATCTTTTCACTTTTTTTTTTTCTACTTCCCTATTTCGTCTTCTTCTTGTTCTCTGTGCTCTACTTTGCTGGAATTAGTTGCCAAAGAAAAGCGAAAAAATTGAAAGGAATTATGTAGCCAGGCGTCGGTTGTCGAGCGCAGTCGCTGTAAAAGTAGCAAAACAGCGCCCGAGGCAAAGCAAATGGAGGCACGGACTTGCCAGCGAGAGTTGCTAGCTTGTTTACCAACACTTAAGCAGTGGCAGTGGCAGCAGTGGCAGTGGCAGCAGCGAGTGTGACTAGCCTGCCGGGCGCGATAAGCCAGCCGCAATAGATGTGAGCGCGAGCTGCTTGGCTAGAAAAATTGCTGCTTGTACCTGTGGCTGTTTGCCAGCGCAGCTTCTGTTGCATGTCATGCATGTATACATGTATATATATATATATATATATATATGTATGTGTGCATGCATGTGTAGCTATATGTATGTATGTAGTTATTGCACTCTGTGCAAGGCTCATAGCAAAATGTGCGCAGCCTTTTCAACATTTTTTCTTCTTTTTTATTTTTAATAAAATATAATTGAATGAAGATGAAGCGTGTAATTGAAATGCTCTATATGTGCTTGATTAAATATATATATTTAATATATATATATATATATATATATATATATAAATTAATATATATAAAAACTCAAAATGCTTCCAAATAACTCAGCGTTAATCGAGCCAGTTGAAGTTTATGAAATGCAACAAGCATTCACACACACACACACAGAGACAAAAATTTCAGAGACTAATTTCCTTGGGCTTCCTTCATGCAGTTCAGCCCGACGCCGTCGTTAGACAATTTGAGCTCTAATGCAATTTAAAACAAATTGAAAATTTGTGCGTGGCAATTGTGACGCTGGCTGCCAACAGATGGCCAGGTGCTGCTGCTGCTGGGCCACGTGTACCTGGCCGTGACCATGGCCGTGGCAAAAGCTATTGTCAACTTGACTATAATCAAATGAAATATTGAATTATATATAATTATGGCTTAACTATGGAATATTGAATGCGTATTTGAAATTGTCTTTGATGACAGGCGAGCCAAGCGACTCGAGCACTTGAGCACTTGAGGTAATTGGCGTTGCAACTGCAGCTGTTCGTGCAGCTGCCACAGTTCCTGCTGTCAGTTACATTGCTGCGGCTGCAGTGCATTACTTAAACATATTTCAATTATAATTGAACTTCGAACTGACGCAAAACTGGCAACTAAGCGGCTTACTTTAATAACACATACTTATATAGCTTTAACTATAAGTGCAAGCACATACTTATGAGCTGTATACTATATACTATATATATATATAGATAAATAATGCCTTCTAAGGACGCAACTGGAAAATTGTGCGCTTAACAAGGCAGCGCAGGTCATGGAGCGCGTCTACTCTAGTGCGTGCATTGTGGGTGGCACTGTGGACCAGAGTGGTTCGATTCGCTTGTTAGTCCTGGGTGCATTCTGTTGTGCAAGTGTGCGCCATAATTGTGCATTGATTATCATAATGCTAACCATCAGAATTGCGCATAATATGGAGCCAAACAAGCAACGCACTCAACAGCCACTTAATCGCTAACTCACTGGCTCACTCGGTCAATCATTCAATCAGTCAACCACTCGATCAAATGAAACGTGCACAAATGTTGTCATGCCAAGCGATTGCCACAAATTTACTTAGCTCATTACTAAATTGAATTAATACGAATTTTCCATTTTACTGTCTTGATGCTTGTTTGATGTTGTTTTTCATTTTCACGCTGAACTCTGATTGATTCGATAAGGGCCTAGGAATGGAAATTGTGAAAAGGCAGCAGAAGGCGTGGCAGCAATCAAATCATGTCAGTGCGTCGCTGAGAACCTTGAAAGATTTAAAATATATATTTTATGGGCTCAAAATACTTAAGCTTTGGGTAGATGCTCCCATTTATATAGCCAACACTAAAGGTATTCAAGTAAAAGACTTACAGCAAGCCTAAAATGCTTATTTCGGCTATTGATTAGTCGATCATTGATGCACTAAATAACCATTAAATGATTTTATGCAACAGCTTATGTTTACTATGGAAGCTAATACATAATAATTCAGGTATTTAGTAGTTGGCCATTAATACTTTAGAGAACTCACAGCGAATAGGAATGCTGTCCGGGTATCTATTAGTCAGTCATTGTTGCGCTACAAAACTCTTATTTGTTTGATTTGAACTGTCAATTGAATTATGATTACTTTGGGTGCTAATCCATGATAGTTCAGATAGTATTAACTTTTATTTGATTTTATATAACAGCTAATGGAATTAGGCTTACTATAGAAGCTAATGAACGTTCGGGTATCCATCAGTCTGTCAATGTTGCACCAGCCAATAGCATATGTCATAGGGGATTCTGTTCAGGTATCTATTGGTCGATGATTACTGCTTTAGTAAACTGTGCTTTGATTCTGTGTGCAGATAATTATAAAACAGCCAATATGACTAGTACTTACTATGTACACTGATGGTTGTTCGGGTATCTATTAGTCGGTCATTAGATAAGACTTATTCCTTTCTGTCGCAGTCAATAGGCTGCGGTTTACTATGGTTACTGATGAACGTTACTCAAAGTAACATGAAAATGTAAGCATATGGAAACTTTAGCTGCTCTTATCTTAAATTTGGTGTCGGCAATTCACGTGAAATGGCGAAACATGAGTGGAAAAAAGTTTTCACTTAAGCTCCATGCATTGAAATTAGTTTTCGAATCAAATTTATTAGAATACTATAATAAAATAGTTTCATTCTGTTTCTCTGAGTTTCTCTTTCTATTTTACCCATCTCTCTCTCCCCCTCTCTCTTTCTGTCTCTCTGTATTTGTGTGTGTCGGCTTGACTTCCGTTTCCGTTTCCGTTTCAATTGCTGTGCGTTTTGTCTCTCTCACTCCCGCTCTCTCTAACAGCTTGTATATTCATCTAGCTCTCTCGTTCTCCCTAGCGCTTTGTATGCTAATAAAATGTTAAGTGCAATATTAAAAGTAAACACGAATCAAATTTAAGTTAATTAAAATAAAACCAACGAATTCTTTAAAAGCAAAATAAAAGAAAGAAAATTGCAAAACGAAAAAGTGAAAATATTCAACGAATTTCAATTCGAGATGCCAGCACAACACCACTAGACCCACTGCATAAGCCACCCACCCGACCGCCAACACCCACAGCAGACGAACCAACGAACCCAACCACAATATGATTGCCACATTGTTTATAATATTTGCATTTATACGCGCCTTCCCCTGGAGTCGGCGTCGCGCTTATGCAGCCGCAGCTGGACGACCACCGCTGGCGCTGACCCTGATGCCCGCCGACGAGGAGGAGCAACAGCAGCAGCAGCAACAACAGCAGCAGCAGCAGCAGCAGCAGCTGAACAATAATAACGGCCCGCGCTCCTCCATCACAACAATGGGCAATGGCCATGGCCATGCGGAGGATATGCCGCGCACACGTCGCAAATCCTCCAAATTCCACGAAGTCACATTCAGCGGCAGCGTTGGCGGTGGCGAAAGCGATGGCGAGGGCGAAGCGGCACATGTGGCAGCAGCAGTAGCTGCCGCTGGAGCTGGCAGCAAGCGGCATTCGCTGGGCGCGACAAGCACCACTAGCAATTCGGGCTCCACCATAACGGCGCCATATCGCACGCTGGGCAGCAGCAGCCGTTCGCGAGGATCGCGTGACTTTGGCCATGGTCAACATGAGTATTATCAGCTGCAGACGGGCTCGTCGTCGTCGAACGGTGGGCGCGGACTGACGCAGCGCAGCGATACAATGGCCACCGAGGCGGAAGAGTTTGAGGATGAGGAACGGCCGCCGATGGACGATGATGAGGCAGCCAGCTATGATCGTGAAACGGAGCAGTTCTATAGCAACATACAGGATGCCGCTGGCACCTCGAGCAGTCGCAGCAAGCGTTCGTCACTTTTCTCGCGCTCCGACAGCTCAGCGACCACCACCTCGTCGTCTGGTGGCGGTACCTTTACGGGCGGCAAACGTCGATCAGCCGCATCGATCATGTCCTCATCGCTCTGCTCCGACGTTATGATCGGCAGCGATCGGCGCAGCTCAACGACCACCGAGTGCAGTGGCCGTTCGGTAGCTGGTTCGGTGCCCAACAACAGCCAGCGTCGGTCCAGTGGACGCATTCGCCGCAATGTCTCCCGCATGACCATCGCGGGAGCCAGACGTCGCACCACCGGAAGGTAATGCTAGCGCATCCACACGCTGCGTCCACATGTCTATTCTAACTTCAAATAACTAACTCTTACTTCCCCTCTCTTTCTCTCTCTCTATCTCTCTCTAACCCTACCTTGCACTGCAAAGCAATATTGACAACTATCTGAAAGGAGCTTAGCTGGGCCTTAAATGATTCGACTCTTAGAAAATTTCTATTTGTACTCGGGATAGGCTCGTATCGCTTAGCTGTAGCCATACCCAAGGAACTCTGGATCATTCTGAATCCATTTCTATTGATTTCCTTTGGTCTTCCCTTTGCCGCCCTCCTTTCAGCCTTTCTCATGTCTTTGGCATAGTTAGTTTCAGATTCTCTAGACTCATTCAATTATATTTCTATATATTAGTGTGTTAACTTAAGTTTTTTCTTTATTTGCAATCAGTAAACCTCAGTTAGAGCCCTAAAATAGATTGTTTTGTGCGTAGTTTGTGCGGGCGCCACCTCCCAGAACATGAAAATCCCCGTGTTTAGTGTTATGCGATGAATTCTATAGGTAGTTAGACTTGAGTTAATTTGAATTGTTGGAAAATCATGAGCCATTTTCTTGTTGCCACTGCTCGTGCTTGGCCAGCAGCTTCATGCCCAGTGGTCGTATCTGCTGGAAGGCACGCTCTACGCTGCTTTCCTGTGCGGCCTGCGACTCCTTCGGCGGATTCGATTCACGGCAGGCACGTGTGGCATGGCGCATACGCTGCATGCTGACCTCCTTGCAGGCCAAACGTATCTCGTCGCCAGTGAAGTGTTCGGAGAGGGTTGTCAGCTGCTCCAACAGCTTGGGCGTTAGACTGAGCGTGGTGCCTAGCAGGCGACTGATTAGATTGGAGCGTTCGGCGGCAGTGGGCAGCTGTACGAGCAGCTTCTTCTCGAACCGTCGCAGAAAGGCCTCATCGATGTCCCAGGGCAGATTGGTGCTGGCCAGCACAAAGACGCCGCTGAGCGTATGCTCCATGCCGTCCAGCAGCTGAAGCAGCTCGTTCTTGAAGCGTTTCGATGACTCGTGATCGGTGGCGCGATCACGTTTCGAGGTCAGACTCTCAATCTCATCGAAGAAGATGACGGAGGGCGAACGACGCGCGGCCATATGAAACAGAACGCGCAGTATTTTTTCCGATTCGCCGCGCCACTTGGACACCATTATGCTGGCCGTGATATTAAAGAATGTCACCTTGCCGCGCGTCTCGGCGTACAGAGCCTTGGCCAAATAGGTCTTACCACTGCCGGGCGGGCCGTGCAGCAGCAACGAACGCCAAGGCTTCAGGCCATGCGCAAATAACTGCGGATACTCGATGGGCGTCAGGACCGCCTCCTTGACCAGCTCAATGGCGCTGTGATTGCCGCAGATGTCCGTCCAGCGCAGCTTGATGTCTTCGCACAGAATGCTCGTCTTGACCAGCTCAGCCAGCGACTGCCATTCGAGCGAGGCGAACAGCGCATCGTCGCCCGCATGTCCATGCTCGATTTCGTTGAATGCAGCGATCCGTGGCTCTGCCATCGTTTCGGCCGTATCCATCTTTTTGATGTGCAGCGACAGTCGATTGGCCTGCAGCTGGCCAGGTCCCTGCTGCTGAGAATCTGCGGCCAAGCTGGCGGCAGCCGCAGCAGTTGCTGCACCAACGCCCGCATGCCAAAAAGCCTGTGAATCGCCAGGTCGCTGCACTGACTGCGACTGTGACTGTGACTGGGTCTGGGAGTGCGACTGTGACCCTGATTGCTCTGCTGGTCTGGCGCCCTTGGTCGAGCTGAGCTCCACTTTGAGCTTAGGTCCCATCTTTTTGAGCACGCGCGGATACTTGCCGAACTTCATATTGAAATAGCTTGCATAGTCCAGATAGATGGCATCTAGGTCCACGTTGTCGCACACCTCGTACTCCTCGGTCAGTCGACCCTCGCCCTTCAGTGTCTCGGCGCTATTATAATAGCCATTCTCCAGCAAATAGCGATGCATCAGATACAGCAGATTGCGTCGACGAGTGGTAAAATTTCGCACATCCTCCACTAGCAGCGTGGACGCGGCTGTGGCCGCAACGCCATACTTCGTTTGGGGCTTCATGCTGACAGCTTATCCCAGTGTGTATAGGTATATATGTATATATATATATATATATATAGATATATATATTATCTATTGTTAACTGCTCTGCGTCTAACTATAACTATCTCATCGAACTGGAAGCTAAACGTTATTGACAACATTCACATTGTTTGCCTGCCTTAAACAGGGTTGTCATAACAAACACGTCCGGGTTGTTCAGGGCAACGTCACAATGTGGCACAGTGGGCTCGATGCCTGAAAATAGTGACAAATTTAAATGCATAGCAATTTATATATAAGCTGAAGCATCAAATTTCTTAACTACCTCCGATACTAATATAAGGTGAAGTCCATAGTGTTATGGGAAATTATATATATATATAAGAATTATCTGTTTAAAGTCCATCAAAAGTCTCTTTATACAACAATTGCAAGCATTTATAAATTTCACTGCTTTACGATGTATTTTTGCCCACTGTGCGCATGACAAACGTTGCCATTGGCTGCAGTCCGCAAGCTGCAGCAAACAGTCATCAACATTTTGACTATAGAAGAACCGCAAATATGCCCAGCCGCAAAAGTCAACAAGAAGATACGAATGCTGTGACGAGATGCCAGAAAATGTGCCTGATTAGTAGATAGATGCAGTGGGCCGTTTGGCATCTGTTCAGCTGCCACGATCCGCGTGCGTCAAATATGTGTGTGTGTGCGTGTGTGTGTGTGTGTGTGTGTGCCACTGCCATTAATTAAAATTGAGCAGAGCGTGAAGACATCACCGAAAACATCACACACTAGAGTCGAAATGCTCTTCAGCTCGCAAGTATATTGAGAATATATATAGATTATATATATATATAAATATATAAGATTTAGCGTTGTTTGAGTTACTCGATTAATGAATATTATTGATATTTCATAGGGATTTTCCACATTCCTCAAAGACCTTGAGCTTATCAAAGGCGTATAGAAATCTAATCAGAAATTGTGATACTACAAATCATGGCCAAAATATTCCAATGGACTCGTAGATTAAAACTTCTTTTTGTCTTTACGTCAAACTGAGATACGGCGCAGATATAGAAATGCTGACTAGCTAGATCTGATAAAGAAGAGACGAATTGTTTGAAGACTTTCGAGTATTTTCGAAAAATCATGCAAAAACTTTTCTTTAAGCTTAGCAAAAAAAATGAGATATTTTAAAAACGAAAATATAAAATTTATGGACCTCTGACTTGAACTAGCTCAAGGTTAGCTTCAGCAACAAAATTTCTTGATTTTTTTGTCAATTTCTTTTATTTATTTATTTAATAAAATAAAAACAATTTTATAGAACTAATATAAATTTTTGTTTAAGCTGAGTTAGCTCAAGACTTTTAGATTTACAAAAAAATTTTATTTTCCTAAAAATTAAAATGAAAAAAAAAAAAATAAATTGCAAATTTGTTGAAATTCCTTGCTTCCAAGCCCAATGAAGTAGCCAATGTGCCCGCTAATGCGCATTGGTGAGTCACGCCGGCTGATGTGCATTGTGCAATGTGCGTCGCGCGTTATGCTGCCAAGATGTTGCATGCTCAATTTGTTTGGTTTTTCGTTTTGTTGGTGGCCGCCAGGCGACAGCTGTTGCAACGGTTAATCAAATGCGCGACGCAATGAAATGAAAATCAACGAAATTCTGATGGGTTCGCAACTTTGGCAGCAGTTGCCTTCGCTTTGCTACTTTCCACACGGCCAAAAATTATGCAACATGCATATGCAACAGTGCCGCGCTTGCCTGGCCCTCTAGCCCATCAGCTGCCATGCCTATCAGCATTTTGCCTTTTAAAAAAAACATCAACAGCCAAGGTAGCTGCAAGGCGCACCAAACGGGTGGCAGCTTGGCTGGGTGACTAGGTATGTGTGTGTGTGTGTATGTGTGGCATGACTGATGCTGTGCTCTGTATGTGTGTATGTGTGTGTGTGCGTGTCTGTGCTCATTTCATATCGCATGCTGTTCGCTCGCACTTTTAATTTGGTTTATACAGAGCAATGGCAATGCCTCCAGCTTCTCGAATCTTTAGGGCAAAACGCAAGCCTCGTCCACGTCTCGCTGCCGTGGCCCCAGCCATGCCTTGCATGCCCAATGCATATGGCAGTCAGTCTCAGGCTTTTGTTAATGGCCTTGTGATAGTTTTTTTCCTCTTCCACATGTGTGTGTGTGTGTGTGTGTCTCTCAAAAGCAGCTGCCACACAAGTGCTGCATGTGTCGTTGGATTGGTTTTTGGATTTGGTTTCAGTTACAGTTGCTGCTGCTGCTGCTGCTACTGCTGCTGCTGTTGGGAATATTGTGGCCAAGGTCTTATATCAGTGCAGCTTTGAATACGTTCATTGAATCCATTCATTGGCCGCTGCATTAGTAAGCCAGCACATTAATGAGTCTGAAATGCGAGTGGATGGCATAAATTGCGAGCAACTCAATAATTCACTAAGCCAACAAGACAATGAGCACATGAAAGGGTAGCAATTCATTAAGCTGAGCTGAGTTGAGTTGAGTTTCGGCTTTAAAATCAGCTTAACATGTACTTATGTTGCGTGCCCCATTAGCAGCGAGTGGCGTGCGTGTTGCATACTTGCAGGCCAAAATGAGCTGCTGCGCGACGTCGCTGCTTAAGCCGTCAGACGAGAAGTCGAGCAGCCGCTTAATGCCAACACCTAGCCGGGGGGATAAGGACAATAGGTGAAGGCAGTACAGCGGGGGCAGACAGATTGCCATTGTTGTGGTAAGTAGGCTAGCAGCAAGCAGCAGGCAGTAGGCAGTAGGCAGGAAATGTGCCCCACGGCTGTCGCTCCTCATGCGCCTAATTATATGTGCAAATAAATGAACGGCCCGAGCTGATTGTGATGAGTGTGTCACAAGCTCTCTCTATGTATGGGTGTGTGTGTGTGTGTGTGTGTTTATGTGCTCTGATTGTGTTGGTGCGGCATAGATTCAACTGCTGCCAGAGGCAGAGTCAGAGGCCAGCTAAGACCCGCAATGCCGCCAACTTAATTAGTTTGTTAAGTAGGAAGTCGCTGGATGTGAAATGATTGTATGCACGACTGGCTGAATGGCTAAATGAATAAGGGATTGACTGAATAACTGCAAACTTGACGACATACGACATTAATCAGCCAGGTCCACGTAGCAGCAAGAACAATTGGAGCGCACACACACGCACATAAATTACTCAATTCTCTTGCAACATTGTGTGCGTGTGTTAAATGAAGTAAAACTTTGCTGCGATATATGAATAAATATATGTGTGTGTATGCGTATATATATATATATGTGTATATATATAAAGCTGCTGGGAAACTGAAACTGAAACTTTAAACTGAAAACACTGAAATACCAAAGACGAATACTGAAATACTGAAATACTGAAAACTGTGCCACACTACGCCTGCCTCATAACTTTTGAAAAGTGCTACAAAGTATGCCATGGTAAATGGCGACATTGTTGCGCACAACAGCAACAATGGCAACAGCAAGAACAACAATAAAATGGGGCAAAACAACAGCAACAACAATAAGAGGCTAGCGTCAACTTTGTGCCAAGTTTACTTAATGACCCCGATATAAATTTTACTTAAAACATCATTTTTCTTTACGACTTTCGCTGCCAAAAGCGTCATGGCCTTCAAGGCGATGGCAACAGGAGCCATAGCATAAGGAATGCCAACGGCGGCTGGACGAGAAGGCCGCCAAACAAGGACACAGCTGCGTCACACAGCGTCCAGCTAAGGACCAGCTCGCCCCCGCACGATATCTGCTTCTGCTTATGAATGTAATTTCTTTAATTATGACAACGCCCTTAGATTGATGCCTGCCTCAGAGTGTGGCTCTCGCACACGCACTCTCTATCCCTCTCTCTCTCTCTCTCTCCTTCTCTCTATATCTATTGCCACATCTGAGCCACGCTACAAATAGCTGGCAATTGCATTTCATAAAGACAAATGACATTAGCGTTTCATTTCTTCTCTTTAGCGTGCAACTCTTTGAGACGATAGCGACATCTATGGGCAGCTGATTAAACCAGTAATTCCTATTGATGAATACATTAATTTTAGAATTATGTTCTACTGGCACGTGTCAAGAGTGATACCTCCTTTTGAGTCGTTCAGAATCAATAGTTGAATCGCTTTGTTGAACTTGTTCAGCAGAACTGAACTTGTTCAGTAGAACTGAACTTGATTAGTAGAACTATTGAACTTGTTCAGTAGAACTATTGAACTTGTTCAGTAGAACCGAACTTGTTCTGTAGAACTATTGAACTTGTTCAGTAGAACTGATGAACTTGTTCATTAAAACTATTGAACTTGTTCAGTAGAACTATTGATCTTGTTCAGTAGAACTGCTGAAGTTGTTCATTAAAACTATTGAACTTGTTCAGTAGAACCGAACTTGTTCAGTAGAACTATTGAACTTGTTCAGTAGAACTATTGAACTTGTTCATAAAAACTATTGAACAAGTTCAGTAGAACTTTTGAACTTGTTCAGTAGAACTAGTGAACTAGTTCAGTAGAACTATTGAACTGGTTCAGTAGAACTATTGAATTTGTTCAGTAGAACTGAACTTGTTCAGTAGAACTATTGAGCTTGTTCAGTAGTACTATTGAACTTGTTCAGTGGAACTGAATTTGTTCAGTAGAACAAGTCAATGGAACCATGAATCATATCAATTCTCATGCTATACGTATCGTATGCCTTACGCAACTAGTGGAAGCTTGTGTAGCTTTAAGCTAATGTAATCGAGGCTGCTTTGTTTAACAAAATGGATAACAATCGGAATTGCGCCAGAGAATAGAGAATATGCTGGTTATTTTAAAACGCCAGCTAGTTGGTTGGGCTTAGTTAAAAAGTTGATCCTTGCAACCGCGCGTTAACTTGATCAGTGGCACAACTTTGGCGCGACTTGAATACACGGCCTTAGGGAAATGCGGCTCTGTAGTGAAGTCAACTTTCAGCTCAAGTTCTCAATAAACTTGGCTACATTCGGAGCGTAGGGTTGGAGTTTTGGGCTGGCTGTATCCCTCTCCATTTTGGGAGTGGGTGTCTCTGTGCGCGTGTATGAGGCGCCGCTACATTTTTAGCCGAGTTGGCGCAAAAGTTTTCATAAGCAAGCGAGGCTGATGTCGACGCAGACAAAGGGCGAAAATGTCTAACGAATTGAAAAACTTTAAAAGCGCCTTGTTAGGCGCGCTTCCGTTTCCTGTAGGTCGTCGTCGTCATCGTCATCGTCATCGCTCTAACCAACCCCCTCCCGCCCCAATAGCTAACTACATACGCCCTAACCACACTCCACTTCTGGCTGCTGTCTTCCGTTTGGCGCTGAAAAGTTCGCTGTGTCAAGTCAACAGGGCCGTCTATAACACGAGTCAAGTTTGGCCTAAAAGCGTTGACTTTCAATTATTTGGGGTCACACAGTGGGCAGCTTGTAAAGTTATTGAATGCCTCAAACCGACTAGCTCAAAATAATATTGTATTGCATAATATTTCATAATTGTCTTTTCCTTTTACAGTTTCGATGTAGAAAATGGCCAGGGCGCCCGATCACCACTTGAGGGCGGCTCACCCAGCGCTGGTTTGGTTCTACAGAATTTACCGCAACGTCGCGAATCCTTTCTATATCGCTCCGACTCGGACTTTGAGATGTCACCAAAGTCAATGTCCAGGAACTCAAGCATTGCTAGCGAAAGGTAAGTGCCAAACACTAAACCGTTTCACCTTATATACTATGGACAATGTTTTCGTTTCGGTTTTATAATCATTTGATTTCTCTGGTGTGTCGACTATGCTTTGAATTCATCTCGATTTTCATTTACATGCTTTAATATGATTTGAGTTCTTATACAGCATTCACGAGCCTCATAAGCTATGCATAATCGCATTCATATCACAAACTTTCTATGACAACTACAAATACATATGCATATGAATATTCTAAGAGCATAATCAAGAATTCCAACAGCAAAGTGGCTAAGACACAGCTGACATTGAACGACAACTGCTCAGCAGCTCTTTATTATTCCATTAAGATGTACGGCTTTAGGCTTTGCTAGCGTGTGCTACTACTAACTACTTTTCCTACTACTATTTTTACGTTATTCAATGTTTTATGTGATTCAACTACCTCTACCCCTACCTGTACCTGTACCTGTACCTGTACCTATATCTGTTATGCTAGATATAATTTGTACTCTTTGTACCTACCCAACATCTCTGACTGTCACTTAGCTTACTACTCCCACGTCTGTTAGTACCTTTCCCAGCAACTACTACTACTATTTCAATTCTTTGCGCCTACCCACGGTATAGCTGTTAGCACTTTTACTCTATATTGGCAACACTTTCAACTACTACTACTATGACTTTTACTATTACATTCAAGTATATAGTGTACCTATATTACTAGTACGTTTACTACTACTATTGAACTATTTACTACTACTTTTTACTATTGCACCTTTATAACTACTACACCTATAACACCCCATTTGAACTTTTACAATTTCAACTACTATGAATCTTTACTCTAGTATAATTTTGACCTATAGAACTTCCCTCTCCTTTTACTACATTTAAACTGCTCTTACTACGAGCTTACTTTAGTTTACTTTACTTTTTATATACTACGGTATAAGAAGTGCGACTAACTTGAATTTCTGCTGTTATTCTACTTTACTTTACCATACATTGACTTCTTATACTGAACATCTACAGTATAAGAAGTGCGACGAAAACACGAATTTCTGTTTCTACATTTACATTTACTTCTTATACTAAAAATCTTATACTATAATAAAACTCAAGTCTCTACTCATATTACACTCACACACACATTTGCTTCTTATACTAATCCTCTTATACTGTAGTATAAGAAGTGCGCCTAAAACTAGAACTGTTACTCCTATTACACTTTACATTTACTTCTTATGCTACACATCTTATACTAAGGTATAAGAGTTGCGACTAGAACTTCAATTTCTACTCCTATTCCTGCTCTCTAAGTTCTTGTTCTATTTCTGAGCGGAAGAGCAATATATAAGGTACTGCAAGAGTTGTAGAAGGCGCAATAGGAGTAAAAGAACTGAGTGTTAAAGCTGTTGTGGAATTAGTAGAAACTTAGCACTTTCTGCTGCTACGTTTTCCAGTAGCATTTCAACACTTGTTGGCCAACTGGCTGGAGGGCTCTTGCCGCAGCTGCCGCGTTGCTTTGACAACTTTTCTTCGACTACTAATTTCGAGTACAGCCTCCACCGTCTGCAGATGGTTTCTTTTACTTTGTCTATTACTTTAATACCACTCTCGATGCTCATATAGAATTTCCCGTGGGCTTTTCGTTGCTGTTCCTTTAGATTTTGAACATTTTCATTTAGAAGTCTTAAATTTGTTCTACCAATTTTCAACATCTGTTGCTATTGTCTGGCTGCCTTTGCTCTTTCTGCTGGAAATGCTGCCACAATTCGCAATGCCACACCTATGTTGCATACATGAGTGTGCGTGTGGGTACTTGTGTGGATGGGTGTGTGTGTGTGTGTGAATGAATGTGCAGCATCGTTTGCGGTATTTGAGGCACTTTGCCACATTTCAATGGCATTGCAGCGCCGCCTCTAGAGCAAAGTTGGCAACATCATCATCTGCTGGTGGTCAGGAGCCGTCCCATTGATGGCATTTTTGAAATTCATAGCAAGCCTTTTGCCACATCTGGCTGCCTCTTTGGCAAAAATTCCATTCCAGCAGTTCCGGAGACGTCACCTCACCCAACAGTCTATATGCTCTTTACGGCTTTAGTGTGTTGTCCGCTGTCCACTGTCCGCTGTCCGTTGTCTGATGTCCGGCGTCAGCTGCTCTGTGCTCTGGTCCGTGAGTTGACCCGGCTTTGACCATTGTTTTGACAACGCTTGCAGGCATCTGGAATAAATAGCAATGGCAACTTTTTTGGAAGCTCTGACAAAAGATGACAAACAACATTTACCCACAATTTTGCTGAACTATTTGGGCTTTGATTAGTTAGTCAGCTTTACCTGAAGACCAAATATGCATGCAAATGCCACTCGCATGACACACATGAATGAGCCAACAGCTATACAGAGACAGAGACAGATAGACACACACCCAGACACAGTTGAATTGCATTAACAAGCATTACACAACTGGAAACCGGAAATACAATTTTCTCTTATGCCCGAGGTGCGACAACTTTTTAGTTTTTTTGTTTTGCTTCTGCTGCTGCTGCTGCTGCGGCAATGCACAACAAGAACACAATAATTACACACAACAACATGAACGATATCAAAGCATCAGGTAGCATCATGTCAAAAGGCTAAACAACAAAACAAGCGAACACCATATGGAATTAGCCGGGCATCTGGTCAGCCAGCAGCCAAATGCAACCTTGAGTAGACAAGTATTTTACAGCTATTTTTACACGTCTCTTGGCACTCGTCGTCTGCCGCTCACCGCCCACCGCCCACCGCCCACAGCCGCAAAGGCCAAAGCGCTAAAATATATCGCGCAAAACGCAGATGAAAAATTGCAAAAATATTTGGACCGCAAAACACTTAAAGCCGCCACCACGCCACCGCCACCGCAGCAGTCGACAAATGAAGCGTTTGCCCATCAAGTGTATACACTTATACACATTGCAGCCAAATCAGATGTGAAATATGAAAGGCACCGACAATGCCACAGCACCACAACCCGAGCTCAGTTCCATAACTCTCAGCTATCAAGCCTAAAACTATTTCTCAGCTATCATCGATCAGCATTCTGTTCATACTAATTTGCTTTATTTGTGTGCCATCTGCATCCTTCTCTCTCTCTCTCTCTCTCTATATATATATATATATATATATATATATATATGAGCAATCTTAAAGATCTTAACATATCATTGCTTCAGTTTCGGTTGTGTGTAAATATAGTCATCCACCTCTACTCTTATAACTGTCTCGTTGTTATTCGTTTTGGTGTTTATTGTATGTTGTTCCCTGGCTGCAAACTGTTGTTCACGCAGCATGCAAGTGTTTATATGTGATCAAATAATACTATAAGATGTTAGCTGATTGATGGCTGGATGAGATGTGTAAGCAAAGAAAAAAAAAGTGAGCTACAGCTCACTGGCGTGGGACCAGAACGATCCATGCTGAACTTCATAGTTCACATATTTTGTCTTAAAGGGCACAAGTGTTTCTATCTATATTCCTCGATCGATTGATCATCATCATCACATAGTAAATCTAACACTAGACAAACATTTAGCTGTCTCAACTAAATTTCTTTTATAAATCACAGAAATGATTAGCTCTTGCATATGAAACTCTGAAGATTCGATTCGAGTCGAGTGCAAATACTTGGCTGGAATTTGTGTGTGTGCCATCAGCATTATATAATCTAGGTAACCTCTATGCATATACATACATTTCATGTTGTTCTTGGACTCAAAGCGAAAGTGTCCTTGTGTCGCAAAACATGGCTGGCTGGCTGGCTAAAGTTAGATGTGCCCCCAAGTGCAGTGGCCCCAGTGGCGCTAGAACATAGAAACGATTTAATTATACATAGTTGAAAATAAATATATTTATATATATACATACATATATATATATATTTTTTGTTGGTATTTTCGGTATTTTTGGTATTTTGTTGGCTCCCTTTTCGGCCATTTGGCAGCGACAGCAACGCAATTTGCATTTATTTCTCTTTTGGCTTTCTTTATGTACGTCTTCCTTTCTTTTTTTTTGTATTTTTTTTGTTTCGGCCTGACTGGGCCAGGCCAAAAAGTTTTGGGTCTGCTTTAAAGTTTTTGGCAGGCCTCTAGTTACGCTCGCCTCCAGCCCGTCGCCCCCTTCTCTATAGACATTTGCTGCCAGTCGGACGTCTTCTAAAGGTCCGTTTGCTGCGTTTGCTTTCAATCAACTTGAATATTTTTGGTGAGACATATCGCAGTTCCCTCGTCTGCCAGTCTGCCACTTTCAAACAATGTTGTTGATGAGCCTGTCAATTGCAAGCACACACACAAACGCACACACACACACACACATACATCAAAACAATCACACACACACTTGGTTATATATACCTTATACTTTGGCAGTGACTGGCCCCAGCTTAGCTGTCATGACAACGACAACGACAACGAACAAGTTGAGTGAAAATTTCATAAAGATTTCAACACTAATAACAAATAATTAGCTGACTGACTGCGGCTGGCAAATATCAAGGGCAACAAAATAGCAACAGCAACACAAATAATTCAATTAAATATGTTAGCTGAATGCGAGTGAGAGCGAGAGTGGATTAAGAAATAGCAAAAAATTGAGTTGCTTTTCGAATTGAAGCTGCAATTTCTAGAAACTTTTACTGAGTTGAAGCTGAATTTTATTGAGTGTACGAATTATATGTAATTGCATACTCAAAGGTATATCGATATAAGGTATATAAGGTATATGGTTAAATCAGACTTCATTTTGATTAAACAATATTTACCTTTTTATGCATTCAAAAGACATTCAAAATATTTCACTTTATGTGATAATGTCAATAAAATTAGTTTAATAAAATATAAGTAATAACTCGATACAGACCAACAGCCAAGTGCGTTAAGTTGTCTGGGTTTGCTTCAATTATCATCTCGTATGTCATCAAGCTGAATCAGGCTTATATTTAATAATCGATAACATGTTCGCATGTTACATGAAATCGATAATAAACTTCTAGTCAAATATCAAATATTGGTTTCTAAGTTTCTAAGAATTGCAAATAGAAAAATCTTTCACATAATAAAAAACCTTTAAATTCAAGGCTAATAAATTTGTACCAAATCGATAACATGTATATCCTTAAAGCTAAAGCCTCCAAATATTGCTATTCAGTTTCTAGACTATTTTAAAATGTGTATTTATCACTTCTATACACAGACAAGAACAACAAAACGTATAGGGTATCTGCACGTCGTGCAACCATAACACTCTGACATATTTGCTTTTGCCTGGCTCGTTTGGTAGGCAGCTGAAAAAGCTGTTCAAAGTCGACTACAAATCAGTTGGCATCACAGTCAGCCGTTGTGGCTGTGGAGACACACGTTAATTGCAGATGGATCGAAGTGCAGGACGAGCCCAAAAGCAATTGATAGCCCAACGCTGAAAGCCATTCAGGCGTTAATTTGCGTTAAATGCCAAGGCGAAAAGCGGCAAAAAAAATAGCAGGTGTGTTTGCCTGTTCGATTGTGGGACATGCAGCAAACACCACAAGAAGACACACACACACGCAGCACGATTTCAAAAAGCAAAACCAAGAAGAAGGGGCGTGGCTAGTGGACGTTGTTGTGTGCGTGTGTACGTCGGTGCCATTGGCATTTGCAAAGTGTTTAAAATGCAAGTCAGAGACACAACAGCCATGTGTGTGCCAGTGCGTGTCTGTCTGTATGTCTTTTTTTTTTTTTTGCTAAATGTCAACACTTCAACTTCGACTTTTGTGTGCAGCAGGCAGAGCGACTGCAGTTGTGACGTGCGCAACAGAATGACGTCATGACATGAAACTCGCTCGCCCCTCCCTCTATCCGAGCAGCCAGTCGCTTATCTATCAATTGCCGACGAGGTCATTGCCGTCGTATTGTCTACGTCAGAGCGGCAGGCAACGAGTCACAACCTAAGCTGACCCTTGCCCACATAGCTAACCCATGAACATATCGTTTAACTGCTGCACGTGATGTCTCAATTAAGCTGCTTCAATTCCATTTGCCACTCATTGCATACCTTAGGGCGTCACGCACAGACACACACACACACAGAGACACATTTACACACAGTTTATGTTAACGTTTTCATTTGCATCTAGCTTAACTATAAAATAAGCGTCAATTATTTACAACTAAAATTGAAAACAACAAATTTTGAAAAGCCGAAGGAATTTTGTTGACTTTCCGTTAAATTAGTTTTACTTCATTGTTGTTTACTGTTTTCTTTTGTTACTTTTGTTGTCTGTTGCAAGAGTCGATTGCTGGCAATCGCTTACATGTGCTGCGTACTCGTACTGTTCACCTTCTATCTCTTAAGCCTATCTACTTATGATTGTTATTTGTACTATTATCGTTGTTTATTATTGTAACCCTTTTGCAGGTTTAAAGAACAGGAGGCCTCTATACTCATTGACAGATCGTACGTATGCCCAGTTCTATCTATCTATCTATCTATCTATCTATCTAACTATCTAGCTAACTTTCTATCTTCTTTTGTTTGTTTTTATCTAAACTATATAATCCATATCTCTAATTCTGTCTGCCTGATTGTTTGCTTGCGCCGCACTCAATGTTTGTATTGTTGATGTTGCTGTTGTTGTTGTCTTATTTTTAATTGATCCTTTCCTTTTGTATTGTTGCATAGTTGCACGCTTGCCCCGTTTGATATAGATATAAATATATTTGCAAAAATTAAAACATAAATCAATAATCATTTGACGCTATTTTCTATGCATCACTCATTTTGGATCAAGTTTTTGTTTTCTTATTCTATTTCTCTTATATTTATTTGAATTATTTAGTAAATTTATTCATTTTGGGCATGTTGGGCAGACAAATATAAGATAAAATATATTTATACTCTGTTTTGGGTGAACGGAAGTCACAGTTTATACACTTTATTGGGTAAATTTCTATATAAAAAATTAAAAATAAATCTGATAAAAAGCGACGTCAAAGTGGCAGGAATTTTCTATACATATGTAAATGTTGCACAGCTTACGAAACTTTGATTCGGATTAAATAGTTCAATTACTTGAAGGCAAGGCAAGGAACAAAAGCTTAAGTAGCAGACTATTGCATGAGGGCATTTAAAGTCAATGGAAACGAAGATTAACTTAAGAGAGCTGCTTCTAAGAGTACTTATAAGCTGCTGTGCTGCACAGCCTCCACTTGCCAATGGGTCCGAAAGGAGCTTAAGCAGTAAGTAGGTAACTCTCAGAGTGCCAGCAGCTTCAGCCATGGTCATATATATAGACAAGGAATGACAAAGATCTTAAGATATATATACATAATAATAATCTGCCAGCTTTAGATCTTTCTCGCTTCTTCTATTCGCCCAAGGTACAGAGTATCTCAGCAATCGGTAGCCATCGACTGCCATGCACATTTGATATACCTAAACTATACTTGCTCTATGCCGTGTATAAACATATACGATTAAGAAACTTGCGTAAGCTGGATCAACTAGATCAACTCTAGCTGCATTCGTAACTTTGGCAAAAGCAATTTTCGTAAGTCGATTCAGATTCGCATTGATAACTCTTGAAACATGTGTGGTAAGCAAGCGATGTGAACTCATACGTGAGTCACATCACGTTGTTTTGTTTTGGCTCGAAGAGCAACTCACATGACGTTCCGCGTGCCACAGTCATCATTTGTCGTTGTTGTCGGCGCAATTAAAGGCGCAGATTGGTCGAGGGACGCTGGCTGAATGAAAGCTGCCAAAGATGTGATATAAACAACAACAAGTAGAAGAAGAAGAAGAAGCAGGCGTTCGCTGCAGCGCAGCTAATTTAAATATGAAAAACATTTCCTATTTCCTGTGTGAGCAATGCGAAATTTTCGGTCGGGCCAACAGCAGAAAATGGGAAATATCTGAGAGGTTGACGGCTTCGCCTGTTGTGGGGTGGGGGCAGGCGTAGCCTGTCGTTGGGAAAATTCAATCACAGGCCATGGCAACCGCAGCTCTGCGCAACAGCGTCCCTTACAGCCATATGTTGCCCAGTTGGCCACATGCAGCGACGCTGGCGTATACGTAACGTACATATTATTCATACGCAGCGTGACATCGGAAAGAAAATGCGATTGGGATTGCTAACCAAATGAAATACGTTCTTTTCGCGTATTAAATTTGTCGCCTCAATTGCCGCTGACGCTGCCAAGCGAACCAACATTTTTTGACATGCGCCCAATGCAAATCACACCCAAATATGTGTGCCAGTTCTGCACTCTCACTCTCTCTATGTGTGTGTGTGTGTGCTTGTGTATTTTTTCTGCATGGCTTTGAGTGGCCTCTTGTGCTTTTAATAAAAATGCATCCCACACAAATTTGTCATGCAGTCGGCAAAGCCAAAAATAAAACCAAAAACCCAAAAAAAAAAAAAACCCCAAAAAATTCATCTATTTGCCGTGCATATGCAATTCACACATGAACCAAAAATGCAGCTATGAAATACCACAATTTAGTTCAATTATATCGTTTAGCATCTTCCATGTGTGTTAAATGCAATACAAAGTCAGATGCTGACATGGCGTATATTGTTTCTGAATTCTCTCTTTCTGTGCCCTGCACCTATTAAAAATCAATAAAAACTTATTTGGCAGACAGATCTAGCCTGAACTACAAGCAGACTCGCAATCTGAAATAAAACTACCTCTATACCATCCAGAGTAGTAGTTTTTCTTATTTGCTCTCGATAACACAATATATTTCTTGTTTTCGATAACAAGCGATCATTTCATTTGGGTTTTAAGCTAGCAAATAAATTGTATTAAATAAATTAAATGAATTAAATTATTAAATTAAATTATTATTATATAAATTAAATTATTATTATATAAATTAAATTATTATTATTAAATAAATTAAATTCACTATAATTATTCAGAGCTCTAAAAAAAACAACTTCACATTAGATGAGTTACAGAGAGAACCATTTTAAGACTTGACATGGTATTCGAATGGAGTTAGGTTAAGAGATCTTGGGCACTATTATGTTCTATTCTTGGATACTATCATGTCATGTGCGTGAAGAATATGTTTAAACTTGAAAGCCTTAGCTCTTCTAGTATGTTTAATAGATATGCTTGATCTTGAAAAGTTTTGCAGTTCAACAATTCAGAAACATTAGAATAAATCTTGAAAGAATCCACTAACTAGCTGAGCATAGGCTATGCTGCTTTAATGGGTGCGTGTGTGTGTTTTCGTTTGTGTTTGTTAATGTTTAGGAACAATTTCATCAGACACTTGACTGGGATGCGCCCACGTTGTCTGTCAGTCACGAGATTTGTATCTCTGTCTCTGACCCGTTGCTTGATGTGCTTTATTCGCTTGCTTTTGTTTATTGGCTGCAGCGCCACTTGCCGCCGCACGTCCGTCAAGTGGGTTAAGTGAGCCAGTGGGCGTGGCACGCAGCGGCTGATTATCGTAATCAGAAATCGAGCAATGGGCTGGGGGAAAAATGAAATGGAAAATTGAAAATCAAAGAGCAAAATCGACGGCACTTAAGTGACGCTGGCCCATGCGGCGTATGAGTAATGTGCCTATTGGACTCGCGTTCTCTCTCGCTCTTCCACTTTCTGTTTCTGTACCCCTCACACACACATTTAGTGAAGGCAGAACGAGAGACACAAGTGGGTTAGCTAAATTAAAAATTGCTCGAAATTATTATTAGAATTACGTGTGTGCGCGCAGTTGCGACTAACCAGCGAGAGATATTAAAAATAAACGTTAGTAGTTAGATATATAAATATGCATATTAGCGCATCGCTCCCTCTCGCTCCCACCCATATAATGAGCGTTCATTAAGCGAGCAACAACAGCAAAAACTAATTGCAGATCGCTCAAAGGCAGCCAAATGGCAATTTGAGTTGAGAATTTATTAAACATTAACGTAGGTAAGTGCGCGTCTAGAGCGCAAGCAACGACAGCACGGCGCGGGCAAGTGCGTGCGAGCGAGACGGGTAGAGCGTGAAATTAATTTTGCGTGAATTGTTGGAAAACAAGAAAACAGAGAGATAGAAGACAATCAGGTGGAAGGCATTCTAGTCGGCAAGTTCTACGCTCTGCCGTTCATAATGAAGTGGATCATAATGAATATGAGTGATGCTGATGATGATGAGAATGATGATGATGAGAATGATGATGTTGATGATGCTTTTGCCGCTGCTGTGCTTGTGTTATGTCAGGCAAGGACACGCAGCCTGACTTGCCGGACATTGGATATGTCGTCTGTGTGGCATAGCAAACAAACAGGGTGTACAATTGGCTTAGCTTCGTTTGACTTATCGATCACAACTGCTCAAGAGACATGATCTAGTTGTTCACTTTACTTTTTATTGCCAAACATTTATTACCTCCGAACTATTGAAGCTGATGATTCATGTTATAAGCCAAAAGGTGCGTCAAATATTTACTTATTAATTGTATTTAATATCAATAATTAATTGCGTAAAATATGTACATATTAAATGTATTTTATATTAATTAGTAATTGTATTTTATATAAATTATTCATTGAATTTTATATCAATAATTAGTTGCTATCAAAAGTCTCTTCTGATCAGAGAAAATTCTTTGCGGTTTGATTGGGATTTTTGTTTCAGTTCTTCAGGTCAACTCGTCTGAATTGTTGAAGTAATTTAAAGAACTGAAACAAAAATCCCAATCAAACCGCAAAGATTATTCTCTGATCAGAAGAGACTTTTGATATCAACAAAATGTTGTCTAAAGAGTTTGATATGAAAGTTGAAAGCTGAAAGCTTAATTAGACAATATTTGAATGAGACTTTAAACAAAGAAATGTAAGTGAAATGGCTTTAGATCTAATCTATATATATGTATCTGAAAATATCTGTATGTGTACAGCTTATATATGTAGCTGTTTCTGATTAAGGCTAAGATTTCTCTTATGTATTCAATTAAAATGAAATTAAATTAAATGATATAAATTCTTCAAATGCCTAAGATGTACTATCCAGAGATTGCTTTAGCTAATGTTCTAGACGATAAATGAATGTGTGTCAAGGCGACACCCTGTATATTTCTATAATTGAGCAAATGTTGTACATGTTGTGTCAGTTCGTTCGTTCGTTCGTTGCTGTTACTCAAGATGAAAAGCAAGCAAAAATCATACGCGCGCGCGCAAAAAAAAAAACAACAAGCACAAATGATGAAAATGAAATGACACACACACACACAGAGAGAGAGACATACACGCAGAGGCAGTGGCATACTCGCTCACATGTTCAAATTTAATTTCATTTATTTATATTTTTTTTTAAGTTGAATATAATTTGTTTCTTACGTTACGTTCAGCTCAGCTGATGTCTGCCGCCCGTTGCCAGCTGCTCGGTCAGCGACAGCGCTGACGTCGCTGGCGACGCTAGCGTCGCTTTTCTACTAGAATTTTTCTTCTT